CTGTTACGCTTTCACGCCTAAATCACTGAACTGATTTTAATGAAATTTGGTACAGAGATAGAGTTGACCTTGAGAAAGAACATAGAATAGTTTTTATCCCAGATTTTTAAAAGCTTCGCGAAACGCGATATAACCGAACTCCACGCGGGCGAAGCTGCGGGCGGAAAGCTAGTACAGTATAAGTCTTCCAGCATGTAATTTACAAAGAGTTTTAGTTGGTAGGTTGCTACCTTGGCCAGCTTACCATCATTATGATCCCTTACCAAAGTGGTGAGGACAAATTCTTTATTTATATATACAGGGTGACTGGTGAATTACTATCAATATTTAAGGAGAATACTCGGTACATGATTCTCATTCGAATTATGTAAAGAAAATTGGTACTTAATTTTTGACCAAATTTCCGTATAAATAAATAAAGTGTGGACACGTTTAAAGTGTTTCAAGTGTGGACGCGTGCGGCGGCGTGCTGATACAACACCACGCCGCCGCACGCGTCTGTGTGTGTGTGAGTGTATACCTATTCTGTAGGGTGTTCACACGATGCGTAATTAATTACATAACTTTTGGTTAACTTTACTTAGAAGTTTATTAATATTTATGTTATATTAATTTTTATTTTGTCATATATGATCGTCAAATTCACCAGTCAGCCTGTATATATTATTCCATTGACCATTGATACATAGCAAATAACGTCACATAAATTGTTTAATATACAGCGTGTTTTTTATTTCGTTTATAATAACACTCTGTATATAAATAGATTTATAAGCCTGTCTTACACCTCGTTACTAAAGTTCTAGATTTTAAAAATAAACGTCACAGATGACTTTCAGCGTAACGTGATTCATGAATATAATTTTAGATACTGTACTATTATTAAATAATATGTTGAAGTTATGTTAAAAATGTTATAGATGTATGAACATATTCGTGTTGCAAGCGGAAAAGTCTTGGTTGACGACGGTTTAAAAGGACTTGAAAGCCCTGAACAAAACACCCTTTATGGAAACTCATGACCAGGAAAGCCGACCCCATATAATTTGGAAAACGATCATGGAAGAAGTATGAACATATTTATGTTACATCAAAACTAGTACAGTCTCGAAATAGGCTGTCTATAGAATATTCTCGTTTCAAAAATGTATTCACGTATTGAAATGATTGAAATCAAATGCATTGATCAACAAGAAACAATATTTCAAGGTCCCTGGAAAAAATCAATATTTTACAATTAAATATACAGATATCAGAAAGAATATAATATTAGAAAGTTATAATTTTTGTTCCAAGATTTCTCTACCTTATACAAAAGACTTTTAACCTACAATAGTTTTCGAGATTTCAGTATTCAAACAAACACTCATAATATTTTGACTCAGTAACTCGTGTCATTTGTCCCTTGGTCTATACACGGCTCTTCCTCATCATTCAGCGTCTATACATTTCTTCATACATCGTGTAACTAATTTTAATTCAATGTGTAACGCGCCCCTTCATTACGAGGAAGAGTCCATGACGTATGTGGGTAGTCTTGCATAATACTTGTACGTAGTGTTGTATCAGCTATTGAGTAGTATGCCAGACTGATACGTAGGTTATTGGGCCAAACTCCTACGTAGTGTTAGACCAGCATTATACGTATAGTCCTGTGAAAGATTTACGCATAGTCTTACGTACAGTCTTATTCTAGACTTCTTTATAGTTTTGTGCCAGATTCTTACGTAAAGTTATAATAATATAAAATATTGTTAGAATTTATCAAGTAACGAGCAAGTCCTTCAAAGGCAGCCCTAGTAGGTTCTTTTAAATTTAATAGAGAGAAGAGCTTGTACGGTGGTGGTGAGCGTTTAACGCGTTAGATAGATACCCCTTAAACCTGCACCTGGGTCACAAGTCCCAGTCACTGTTGAAGCTCCTCTCACTACAACGATGGACCCGACACACGCACCGTGAATACATGGAATGATGAGAGGTTTCGTCTCTCTATATATATTAAACCTGCACCTGGGTCACAAGTCCCAGTCACTGTTGAAGCTCCTCTCACTACAACGATGGACCCGACACACGCACCGTGAATACATGGAATGATGAGAGGTTTCGTCCCACACAATTTTTCACAGCATCCGCATGTAGTTATCCAAATAGTTATAGGCTTTAATATATATTATTTTGTATTATTCACGGAGATTTATGTCAGAAACCTTGAAACTGTCGGTGTAAACTCACATTGGACACAGTAAACACAACGTCGAAATTACAGAAGTAAATGTTATGTTGGCACTAACATTTGTATATTATTACACTAGTAGACTATGTAGAATGAAATATTAACTAAAAGAACACAAAATAACAAACAGAAAGATACAATGTATATAACCAAATGACCATTTACGTATCGTCTGTCCGTCATAACGATTGCTGAAAAGTCACCGAAGCCGAAAAATACGTAGTACATATGAAAATATTAGTTTTTTTTGTATAAATATATGAAATTTTTCGAAGCTACTAAGATTCAAACCTACTACATAATACAACAGATTTACCAAATAAGCTATAATATGAAAACTACAAAATTCGTAGATAAAAATTTATTTGCACTACATTGCTTGCGCTATATATAAATAGCTTTAAATCACTGACGTACTGACCTACGACACATTAACACACCCACACAGCAATGTATATTCTACAAGTATATTAATACTATTCTATATGCTTACCACAAGTTTCTAACGTCACTACATACGACGAGTTTCGAATTTCTCATTAAATACTATAACGTTAATTAATAATTATATATATACATTATGAATCAAAAACTCTTAAATCTCAGTATTTAAATATGCTGATTCAAACTTGTGGTAATATTAATGGAACATATTGTTTTATCTTGCGTACTGAGATATTTGTTTTATCCATATTGTTATTAATTTGATTATATTTCATTAGTTTCAGTGATTATGATTAACAAACATACATAAATTCTTTCTGACATGTTTATACTATATAGAAAAACCGGTTGTTCAAGTTAAACTATATATATTGATATGGAAAATAAAATAAATTATAAGGAAAACTACTGAGCATATTCTGATTGGACTTTTATTTAATGTAGTTTGTATATTTGAAAAATAAACTAAAATTTTTGGTAATACTATAATCATTTTTTCTTATTTAAAAGTATAACTCGCTCTTACAACTTTATCATAATGGGTTCAGTATTTTAAGCCATAAATAACTTCAATGAAATTAATGATACTATATATAGAGTATTACACACGATACCACATATTTGTTATAACCCACAATGCTATTTACATAAATTTTATATCATTACAAACTCAATGTTACCTAAAAAACTATATGAAGGCTAGTCTCTATTGAAGCGGAGCAATTCTACGCCAATTGACTTAATCAAGATTTGCATTATTGTTAAAAAAAACTAAAATTAATGTAATTTTATATGAAATGTAGTACAACTTGATAGTGACTTCATATAGATTTTAATTAAATACATGTTTTTGTTAATACTAGAAGTACTTAAAATAATGTGTTTAAAAGTATTTATTTCAAACTTTAGAAATAATTGTATAATTAATTAAGTTACAGATATTATAAATGATAATACATGTTTTACATATTTTAATATTGTTTGTACATTAAGCGACTAAATATTTCTTCATTATGCATAGACAACATGAAAGTTATAATCTCCTCGTTTTATATCTCATAAGAATAATCTTTGCAAATTTATATAATAGTATAAATAGATTTAAATAGTAATTGCATCAATAATAATATATATTTTATTACTTTAATTAATGTATAATATTAAATGTTATTCAAACACTATAGCTTTCTAAAATTTCCAACACTAAAACTTAATGCAAATACATTATTATATAAATATAATTAAATGAATATTGTTCAGTTATTATTGTTATTGTAAGAAAATTTCTTTATCTTTGTATTGGCAATTTTTAATATCGTTATATATGATTTAAGTGTGGATAATAATTAAACGCTTATTTATCTTAATTTTCTGTTCTATTGATGATAATGAGCATGATAACTTTGTTGGTGAAGCGGCAAAAACTTTAGAAAAAAAAAACCTTCCGGTATTTAGTCAAACGGAGTTTATAAAAACCAACTTCCTAAGTTTTCTATAGCTTCGTAGTGATCCTAATTAAATTTGTAACAGTCGCAACTGTTGCGACGAGTGTTACACGCGCGTTAATTGTAATGAAAGTCGAAGCGTGGGTTTAACTCCATGACTATTAATACGAAGATAGTACGCACGAGTTTATCTCTGTTTCACAACACTGGAATGGTATGGATAGCCCGGCACCATAAAAAGACATAACGTGACATTTGAACTACTAATAAACCACTGACCTGTATTTAGAAAACGCTCCCCTGAAGCCCCCTCTGTGAGATTCCATTCAAAAGTTTACGTAATAATGAAAATAAACACCAACAAATACGGTTTATTTCACTTAATGATCATTTAGTTATCACGATTTCTTTATACCTGACACACGCGAGACATCTGCGCCAGCAGCTGAACTGTGGAGTTGCTTAGATTATCAAAAACATGCCAATTTTAAACCACAGATTATATTAAAAGAAATATTAAAGAGTAGTAATATTTTATAATATGATTTATTTATAAAAAAATATACTAAATCTACACTATATTGTTGTTAGAAGTATAGTTATTATATTTTCATACTTTTTTACGATTTTTCGTGCACCTTAATGTTTTTACTTTTTAGTGTGGCACATCACTAGTGTGACAATCACGCACTGTCTAATGGTAACCCTAACTTAGTCTTGTCACTACAAGACACTACATCAATTCACGTCAAATTGAAAATCGATGATTTCGGAATTTTAGTTCCTAGTATCTCGCTTCTGATTAACCTGAACTGTATAATTTTCATAATAAATGAATCGTAATATTTAGTCAAATACCTAGTTGAAATAAGTGCACAATGATTAAAGCTATTTTAGTTTTTAATAACCATGGCAAGCCGAGATTATCAAAATTCTATCAGTACTTTGTAAGTGAAAGCATATAAGCTATATTTAATCACTATTTCTAAACGATATCACGAAAAAATTATCCCTATATTGTATTTGACGTGCTGTAACAACTTTTAATAACGCTTTTGTAATATATTGATATTTGTAAACAGTGATTATAGGTAATTCACTTTCAATTCTAGAATGAAGATATGCAACAACAGATAATAAAAGAAACATTTCAATTAGTGTCCAAAAGAGATGACAATGTGTGCAATTTTCTTGAAGGAGGCAGGTGTGTAAATGATCTCATTATTTTTTATTTAGTGGAATTTATATTGTAAGAGTATTCAGTCATAAAAGAGATATGTTATTAATCAAATTGCAGTCCAAATAAACTATAACTAAATAGAACAAAAACTCTACATATAAATTGTAATATAATGATTATACTGGCATGAGTGTAGGCACTACATTAAGCACTCATAGCTCAAAAAAAACCTTACATCATGTGTAAAAGAACTATCATTCTTACACCTCTGGGCTGATATTAACTGATAATAGCAAAAAAACTACCAGAAAGTGGTCGGCTCTTTAAAGAAGTCACATTAATACTAACTGCTAATAGCATAAAACTACCGGAAGGTAGTCGGCTCTTTAAAAAAGTCACATTAATATTAAATGCTAATAGCAAAAAACTACCAGAAGGTAGTCGGCTCTTTAAAAAGTCACATTGATATTGGCTTATCTATTTTACGAGTTACAATCACACATACATATAGAGAGGAGCTTGTATTGTTGAGGTGAGCGTTTAATGCGTTAGATAAGGCCCCTTAAACCTACACCTGGGTCACAAGTCCCAGTCACTGTTGAAGCTCCTCTCACTACAACGATGGACCCGACACACACACAGTGAATACATGGAATGATGAGAGGATTCATCACTATGACAAATTAATAACACTCTTTTTGTATCAGAGTCTAAATAGTCAGACAATATTATTAAACAAATACTTGAAAATATTTTAAACACATGTTACTTTATTTTCAGTCTCATCGGTGGTTCAGACTACAAATTAATATACCGTCACTATGCGACACTATATTTTGTGTTTTGTGTCGATTCATCGGAGAGTGAGCTCGGAATATTGGATCTGATACAGGTTTGTATAGAATATTGATTGCAAATAGTTCTGATTGTGTTTAGTTGATGTATTTATATTATATGGTTAATGCATCCATAGTTATAATATATTATTATTAAAACTTTTGATGTTTGACTAGGGCTATTTTAATATTTTTGTGCTTACATTTTGGTTAAAGTGGTATTGAATATTCAATCTTGTATAAATATACTGTAATAGATCTAATTGTTTAACAAAAATTTCTTATGAATGATTCAAATATTTTATAAGCAATTTTTTTAAACCATATTTAAACACTTATTTAAGCAAATTTCCAGCAACTATTGTAAATATCCAAGGGTTATGTATAAATTATCACATATTGTCCCTTATATCGACATTGTCAAATATATCATATATACACCAGTTGGTACTTGTGACCCAGGTGTAGGTTTAAGGAACCCCTATCTAAAATTTAATGCTCACCTCCCCCATAAAAGCTCCTATATATACCTAATATGTCATTATTATAAACCGTAGGTGTTTGTTGAGACCCTGGACAAATGTTTTGAGAATGTCTGCGAGTTAGATCTCATCTTCCACGCGGATGCTGCACACCAAGTACTAGATGAGCTTGTGATGGGAGGAATGGTGCTTCAAACTAATATGGCAGATATATTGTGCAGGCTCGCTGAACAAAACAAGATGCAGAAAGCAGAGGTATGTTACATATACATTATACTATATAATTTAACTATAGCTTTGGTTTCAGACTCAGTATATAAATAAATGTTATTTTTATACATATAACACACTTTTTATCCTAAAGCTATGTATAAAATTGTGTAATGTAGTAAGAAAAAACAAATTTTGTATTTATATTTGTTAAATTGATTTATTTGAGTCATATTTATTGATTTTCACTCAACATTTTTAGAAATAATATAAATAATTTTATCTACGTACTTTGGTAATTAGTGATTCATATACATATTGTCAGGGGATTCTCAAAATACTCAAATCATGTGTACACCACAGGAATAAGCAAAACATTATAAGTTTTATTATAATGTAAAAGATTATCATGTTGTATACTACTATTTTTCTGCAACTTGGTCTAATGGGACATCACAATTAGTTATAAAGTGTGTAAAGTTAAAACATTACATATATAAACTACACAACAACGCCATATATATACTAGATGGAGTAACTTTACACCCTGTGATAATTACAAGGAATTTGGTTATATAATATAGTCAAAGTCCTATTGTGATTTCTAATGCCCGCCATACACGCTACGGTCTACTGGAGAGATAACACAGGTCTTTTTGTAAACTGCACAGGTCTATTCACACACATAATCCGGTCCGCCAGTAGACCGTAGTATGTGTGGTCGGCATAAGTTATATCACTGTAAAGTTTAATCAAAACTCGTTTAGAAGTTTCTGTATCAAAGAGAAACAATAAATACATACATTTTTATATACATGTATGTCTTAGAATTTTATATTAATATCATAATAACCTCTTGAACGTCATAAAAGATCTTAAGAAGACTTATATTACTTTATAATTAATTAATCATTCCCAAAGAGTGTGGATGTCAGGCAGGCGGTCGGTCCTAAAAACGATTAGCCAAAACTATTCACAACATGTAAGGCAGACCCTGGCTAAAGCTGGGAAATTGCCAGGTAGAAGAAGAAGATATTTCTTTATAATTAATTATATCCATTAAAATTACTACTTTAATGGTTTCATAATATATATTGAAGTATTAAATATTATTATATGTCAGGTAGCTCCGTTTTCTCACTCTATTTATCTAATTACATATAATCCTGTTAACATGACCACGAAGTGTGTCGTTAAACCTATTAAAATGTTAAAGTTCAAATGACTTTGACAGCTATGTGAAAGAGTCCTTTATAATCTATATTAATAGAATATAGTGTATGATTGTACTACAGTCAATCTGGGTAACTTTGACAGGTAAGGGTGATATTTTATACTATATTTTAAAAAATTAAACCTATCACTCGGGTGTTTTTATTTTATCAGTGCTCTCGTATTACTCTCCGTCTCTAGACATCCACAGAAAGTTTATAGAACATACCAATATAGTATAAAATCTAAATTTTGTGTGTGTCAAAGTTACCCTCCTAAGATGGGTAACTTTGACACACACAGAGCCAAGCATAAAAATGTAGTAATAAGTATTATTTTTATCAATCTGGGTAACATTGGGGTATATATTTATTAACTAATGGATGCATGTGACACAATAAAACGAATATTTTGCAATTTTGTCTTATATTAAAAAAAATATGAAGAATCAGTCTACAACATTTGGCAATGTTACACACATTGTTTAACACCATCAAAAACGCTTAAAAAACTCCTTTAATTTAACATTTTTATTCAAATTATAAAGAAAACAAGCAAAAATAATTTTAACAAACAAACATTTTGTAAAATCTGGAGCATAACTTGTCTATTCTCCCCACTCCATATAGAGCAAATCGTCAATAATACTTGTGTAGAGCCCAGGCTGCTTTATACTGATTTTACTGTTATCTACTGGAGATACAACATCATCTTATCTAATTTTACTAATTTCTCTTTTATCTGGCCATTTCCAACCACCTTGTGTTGATCTACTCATTACAACAAGTGTATGATACGGGAATGTGTAACTTGTCACTTTTCCTGGAAACAGTGTGCCTTCTGCTTTAAATATAACTGTTGTTCTAGGTGAGAACTCAATATTTTTTGATGTGCATGTTGCAAAACTCCATCTTTAACAACAAATTCTTCAATCACCTCTTCTACCACCTCTTCCGCCACCATTGTATTTCCTATGTAAGGGTAACTTTGACAGTGTCAAAGTTACCCAGTTACTGTTCAAAATACGTATTTTCATATTTATGCATGAAATTTCAAAATAAGATTTAATTATATGCAATTTTTTCATGAAAATGCGGTAGTACAAATGGCTCTGAATAACATCTCACTTACCTTATCAACAACCAAAATCACAAAATATTCAAAAAGTTATTCACCCTAAAGTAAACTTAAATTCGCGCGATATATTCAGAAACGAAGTTATGACTTTTTTTTACTTTCACAACTTACTTTTTTTTAAAGTGCATTTAGGAAGCTTATTTAATATCGCAAATCTAAAATAAACATATATGAATAATGTTGGTTTCATGCGAAAAAATAATCGAAACTAGTTCATGGTCCCACTGTCAAAGTTACCCGATGAATCAAAGTTACCCAGATTGACTGTATTAAAAAGTATAAAATTTTAATTTTTTTTATAAGTACCTATCAATAAAATATTTAAAATTCGTAAATAATATAGAAATACCTTATACTTTTGATTAACACTTACGAGAACATAAGTCATGAGATCTAAGACTTACGAGAATCCATTTTAATTAAACTAATGTTTCGTATTACTACGCCTTTTATTATTTTAACTAAATACACCCGAAGTTTTAGTCACTTTGCAAGCAACTGTGACTACATGCAGACAAGACTATAAGTGATAACTTTTACTACTTAATAACTGTAATGGAACAATTTTACTATATCTTAGTTAATTAATAATACTTTTATTTCCAGGCTGGAATATCAGCTGCTCCGGCCAGGGCAGTATCTGCGGTCAAGAGCATGAATTTGCCACAACAATTAAGAGATATGAGGCTTCCCGACCTTCCACAAGCTATTAAGGTATGAGAAAGAGTTTGATTTCTTTTTATGTGAAAGGTGGCAAACGAGCAGACGGCCTACTTGGTGTAAGATAGTACCGTCGCCCATAGACATCCGCAACATCTTTGTTACGGATGCGTTGCCAACCTTGTTTTTTAGGGATAGGGAGGGGTGGGTGGGTGGATAGGGAAATTGTAGGAAAGGGTAAGAAATAGGGAAAGGGCAACCGGCTCTTTCACTCATCGGATGAAACGCAGTCATTACTGACTGCTTCACGCCGATCTTCTGTGAGGGTGGTACTTCCCCAGTCGAGCCAGCCCATGTTCGAGCTGTAGTAACTGACCACAGCTAGGGTCTACCACCTATAAATTTACGAACAAAGAGTTTATGGTAGAATCAAATTATTAGGCTGGAGAAGGATTTTGATAGAGTTATATAATATTTGGGACAGATTAGAGTTGAGAGTGAGATTTATTTAAGAATTGTTGAGTGTCTTAGTTGAAAGGTGTTAGAGAATTTGAATGTTTGTGGATCATATGTAAGGAGAGTAGTTGAATTATTTGAATGTTATGTAAAGGTTAAAAGTTGTTTGATAGAAATAAAACTGAAATGGGAGCATATAGACAGAGTTTGATTAAGTTGAGAAAGGAATTACATCTTTTTATGAGTGAGGTTGAGTGAAGACAATGTTTGGGTCTGTTTTGTAAAATATTGAGAGGAAATTATACCTAATAAGGTTTAGGAAAAAGCAAAATAATTGTAGGTAATTACAAAGAACATATATTTCCTTTACTGTGACTATAATGAGTAATTTCTTATTTTATTTTTCAGGATCTGAAGTTCTGACCTACACATCAGGCGTATCCCGCCTCAGTAACAATAGCCAGTAACATATTCAACTCGATATACACCAATGACAAATATCAGAACATACAAAGAGACAACATCACTAACAAGTTCTTCGGCTCGGAATCACTCAGTCATAAGTTCTCGGAGACATTCACAGAGAATTATCAACAAACTGACGGAATAAACTTCCTAAATTATGAAACTAGTTATGATAGGGAGAGATCTGTGTACCAAGATCTTACTGGAACAGTTGAGAATAAACATAAAGATAAGAAGAGGAAAAAAAAGAATAAGTGATGTTAATGAAACATACTTATAAAATATAATGTCTTAATATATCATCCCTACTAATATTATAAATGCGAAAGTAACTCTGTCTTTCTGTCTGTTAAGCTTTCACGCCTAAACCACTGAAATGATTTTAATGAAATTTGGTACAGACATAGAGTTGACCTTGAGAAAGAACATAGTTTATATGACAGACTTTTGAAAGGTTCTCTTGGAAACGCGATATAACCGAACTCCACTCGGGCGAAGCTGCGGGCGGAAAGCTAGTAAAATATAAATTCTTTATATATCATTTCAATATAAGTCTTATTATGATAGAAATGTACTGTATTTCTTCTAATATAAGATTTTCATAATAAAATGTTAGTTATTTTAATTATAAGAAAATGGAAAGGAATTTATCAATATTGAGTTAACTTTTTTGATACACAAAATAATGTAGCTAAGTCCCTACCACAGGTTTGTGTGTTAATATGAGATTTATGAATTAAAAACTGTTAAAGTTTCGTATGTAGTGTGGCAATGTTACGCGTGGTAAGGGGTTGTAGTCATAGTATATATTATCTAATTGATAATTATTACTACTACAAACACTAATAGTACCGTTTAAATTAATTAGTATAAAATATGAATATATATGTTAATTTGTATGGTCATAAAATCAGTCGAATAATTTAATGAAAATGAATTAAATCAAAAATATCTGATTCATAGGCGTATTTGTTACATTCCATTATTATTCATGCTTGTTAATATCACAAGGTTATGAGAAATATATTTTATATTAAAAATTGTAGTTTTATTTTAATTTCTGTTATAAATAAACATGTTTTTGGACTGTGATCAAACTTTATATTGAAATGGACACGTTGAATTTTAACTACGAATGCGGATTGTAGAATTAAGCTTCTAAATCTTACATTAGATGGCGCTATTGTACTAGCGCCATCTGTCTTTTATTTTGGAGATTAAATACAACGCTATCTTACAAGTAGTTAAATACTACCTGCTACTCGTTAATAGATGGCGTTAAATGATGTTTAATACTCGCGATAACAGATGACGCTGCACGACATGTATTTTATCTATCATCTTTTTATTAAGATCTTAATTTCAATTATTTCATTACAAAAAGATTGATAAAAATATATTACCAGCGAATCTGTTTTATCTATTTATTAGCATGTGCAGTTTCCAATACTTAATATATTAAAAACACGATATATTACTGAATTTGATGTTTATGCTGCCGTTCGACTTTTTTACGTGATTATAATGTAAATAATTAATGCAATAGTTGTAAAAAAATTAACTACGCAAAAGTATAATTTATTGTTGTAATAAATATTCATTTATGCTTAGCACAAGTCTCTATCGTTGCTACACACGTATTTTCTCCTGTTTCATTCAATAACACGTTAATACTGTAATGTATGAAGATATTAATGAAATACTGTTAGCAATTTGAACTTAAAAGGCTGAAAGTATAAAGCCAATGATGAAGATTGTACTGTATGGGGTTGATAGTGGCGAGATTCACAGTCGAACTTCAACTTTTAACTAAGTAAAGCCTTTTATTTATTGTTTTTAGATAGAGTGAGGAAGATGGGTCTATCTATCTATAAGTAGATAACTATAGGGGGCAAAATGAAACGTCTAAAAGACTGTACAATATTGAAATACTTTTCGTTGATATAAATTAAAATGTTGGTGTATGGCTAACAGTAAAGTAATGCTTATCTGACTCTGCACTGGATGTAAAACTTGTTTAATGTCAATATTAATAAAGATATCTTCTATAGTATGTTATAGAGCAAAAATATTATTTATTAGTCCATTTTTCTACATGCAAGTTAAAAATAATTATATTTGATACATGTTTTAGCACATAAAAATCTACGTATTAATAAAACCCTCTTCATCTTGATCTCACTAAGATATAATAAAGAAGTTAAAACACAGTCTGAATAGTTTAAAAAGTTATGTTACATTAAAATTGATCAGTTTTTAAGCAGAAAGTAAATCAGAAACACCTTCTTCATCATCAGACGACCTCCAAAACAAATACAGACATCATTGAAAAGTAATTTCTCTGATAAAAATTCAAGACACAAGCGGATCATGGTCGACATAGAAGAAAACGTGATCCATAATCATGAGGATAATAATATTTTTCACCTTTCATAGCTTTTAATAACCTTGGTGTATTATATTTACATTTTAATCATTTGCTTTGTAAATATAATTTCGCTTATTAATTATACATCACTCGGTTGATGTTTGAGTAATGGTGGTAAAATAGTTTAACAGAGATCTATCAAACATTTGGTTCATCATCTTCATTTCGTAAAGTAAATCAATCATTTTTTAGACCATATTCAATGAATCCACCTTGTAAAAGGTATATGATTGTGGTCACTATTTCTCAATTCTTACATTCAAAAGCTATTACCATTTTACTGTATTATTTCTCCTTAATTTTCAGTTCTGCAAGAAAACTATAATCCTAATTTCTCATTTTCTTTGACAGTGAGTTTCTTCTGAGATCCATCGAAGGTCACGTTTAAAACTCGTTATTTCATAGCAATAATAAATGACCAGTAATATATAAAGTAGGTGAAATACACTTGATTTGAACAACATTGGGTTTGTTTACTACTCTACAAATGTAATAATTTTAACGATACCTACTTCCTTTCTTAAGAGTAAAGATGCTGTTACTGCAAACACATACATTCTTACTTTACAGAACAACTACCTTAATTCTTTGAGTATTGAATCAAGAATTGCTCAGATTTCAAACAATAAGCTTACATTTATTTTATCACAAACGTCAGCAATATATCCTGGTCTATTTGATGTTCTTCAATATCGAAAAGACTCTGCTGAATTAGATACTTACATAGTTTTATTATATTATTTGAATAAAATTGCTTAATATATCTTAATACGTCCTATTTATAAAAATATCTCCAGTATATGTTTTCTAAACTATTTCAAATATAAATACAAGTATTATAAATTTTATTATTAAAATGATTAATAGATTATTGTTATCTCCAAATATTATTGAAATTCTATAATACAAAGCATTGTTTGTTTTACTAGACTATTATGCGGGTAGTTGTAACTTGTAGAGTTGTAACACAGTACTCTGTACTTACATATTTCTTCTTCTACCTGGCAATTTCCCAGCTTAAACCAAGGTCTGCTTTACATATAAATAGTTTTGTCTAATTATTTTCACGACCGGCCGCCTGCCTGACATCACCCTCTTTGTGCATCAATATTTCCACATATAATATATATATATGTTAATGTATTCGTGTAACAATAACATAATAATGTCATTGACATATAACGCACTTGTTTTTGTCGGTTAATGCGTGAGTGAGTTACGTTTGATGTGAAAATTATGCTAACTTATATTCTTACTGTGTTCCGTACCTGTTTTTTCATTATTTTAATTATTTATTCCCTTCTGAACGGGATTTATTAACTCCCACGGGACTGTCTGTGTGTCTGGAGTGGTTTTTTATTCAATCAAAATTTTAAACATAATGAAGCTTGATTTGATATGTAATTAGTATGGAAAATATGGGTTAGTAAATGACGTGTATGTATGTGTATATTATAATTATTAAATTTCGACTGTCAATATGTAACATTAAAGAATTTATACTACATATTTTATATAATTATCAAAATTTAATACATTTCATTTGACTATATACATGTATATATGTTTTTGGAATTGTCAATATTTATTAATTAGTTAGGTACATTTGACAGAAAGAATTTTGATTTAAGATAAAAATAATATTAGAATTGAAAAATTATTTTTGTAAGTAATTGATAAGTTGAATAAATTTGTTAAACAACAGATGTATCATACAAAGGACATACAAATATTATAATAACAATCTGTTTTGACCAAAATGATATCTTTCACAAATAACCCATAACGGGTTAAAACCACAAACTGACCAATATATTGATAGTGGAGTATTAAATGGGTCTTATTGTTAATGTACAACGATTTCACTTTGAACTAACTGTTTCCTGTGACTTCGTTTAACTGGCATATGAGATTAAAATTATATGTATAACTTTTGATTACAGTACCTAATACCTACTATTCTTGGAACGTATTTCCAAGTCTTAGTAGGTTCGTTTTAAATTAGGTAGAGAGAGGAGCTTGTACGGTGGAGGTGAGCGTTTAACGTTAGATAAGGTCCCTTAAACCTACACCTGGGTCACAAGTCCCAGTCACTGTTGAAGCTCCTCTCACTACAACGATGGACCCGACACACGCACCGTGAATACATGGAATGATGAGAGGTTTCGTCTCTCTATATATATTAAACCTACACCTGGGTCACAAGTCCCAGTCACTGTTGAAGCTCCTCTCACTACAACGATGGACCCGACACACGCACCGTGAATACATGGAATGATGAGAGGTTTCGTCTCTCTATATATATTAAACCTACACCTGGGTCACAAGTCCCAGTCACTGTTGAAGCTCCTCTCACTACAACGATGGACCCGACACACGCACCGTGAATACATGGAATGATGAGAGGTTTCGTCTCTCTATATATATTAAACCTACACCTGGGTCACAAGTCCCAGTCACTGTTGAAGCTCCTCTCACTACAACGATGGACCCGACACACGCACCGTGAATACATGGAATGATGAGAGGTTTCGTCTCTCTATATATATTAAACCTACACCTGGGTCACAAGTCCCAGTCACTGTTGAAGCTCCTCTCACTACAACGATGGACCCGACACACGCACCGTGAATACATGGAATGATGAGAGGTTTCGTCTCTCTATATATATTAAACCTACACCTGGGTCACAAGTCCCAGTCACTGTTGAAGCTCCTCTCACTACAACGATGGACCCGACACACGCACCGTGAATACATGGAATGATGAGAGGTTTCGTCTCTCTATATATATTAAACCTACACCTGGGTCACAAGTCCCAGTCACTGTTGAAGCTCCTCTCACTACAACGATGGACCCGACACACGCACCGTGAATACATGGAATGATGAGAGGTTTCGTCTCTCTATATATATTAAACCTACACCTGGGTCACAAGTCCCAGTCACTGTTGAAGCTCCTCTCACTACAACGATGGACCCGACACACGCACCGTGAATACATGGAATGACGAGAGGTTTCGTCTCATTATCAACGTATATGAATGACAGATTTTTAGTCAGTGGTGTCCTAGTGGTTAAAAGGTCCGCCTCTCATACATGAGGGCGCGGGTTCGATCCTGGCCCTGGCAAGTACCAATGTGATTTTTCCGAGTCATATGTACTTTCTATCGTATTTAGACATCACTGATTAATGCATTCCCAAAGAGGGTTGATGTCAGGCGGCCGGTAAAAACAATTAGCCAAAACTATTCACAACATGTAAGGCAGACCCTGGCTAAAGCTGGGAAAATTGCCATGTAGAAGATGAATGACAGACTTACGCTGTGTTTAGTTTGTGTTAAAACTTATAGTAAGGTATATAATTAATATATATAATACTTATTGCTTTATTTCCTTATGTATAATCATTATTATGTATATATTCTCAAGACAATGGATCGTTGAGTTAATAACGTAGACATGTTCATGCAAATTTTTCTAATAACTTTCAAATTAATCTTTCGCAACTTATTATTTTCTTTATTTATTGTTTTTTTTGTTTCTCTACATCACGCTGACCGCAGACATATGACGCATGTCTTCCGGTCAGACGCGGTTTTACTGAGAAGTAACTGAATACTTGGTTTGGTTAAATTTTGACTGAACTAAATATTGGTTTTTTTAATGGTCAGTTATATGTAATTTGGTTAATTCTGTTGTTTAGAGAGGTCAATTATATATACAAATATATTGATATGTTTGTTTGTTGCAACAAATATTCGGTTTCTATTAATATTGACAACTTACTTTTTTTCTGTTTTCATTTGTATGTTTGTTCCAGTTAATCTCTTTAACGGCTGTAACTATTATGAATGTACTTTCATTAACATATAGGTAATGTGGTAGAGTAACATAGTGTATTTTTTTAAATGTTTATATTTATAAGTATAAACATTTGCGAGCAGAGATAGAGTTTAATATGTTTTGAAGTAATTATATATTATTACCTGCCTTAAATTCGTTTGTTCATGATATATCTATATAATACAGTATTTTCAAGATTAAATATTTACATTATGTTTTTTTAGTTATAAATGAAACTAAGTTTTTCGGATACTACTCATTTCTTTTTATTATTTTATAACATTATTCCGACGTTTCGGTTCCTTTACTAAAATCATCACGGAAAGACTTAAATTACTTTAAAATAATCATCATTGTCAGACGAGAAGAAAGTTATAAAAGATCACGATTTTGAAGATGAAGAATGATTTAAAACACGTTATATGTAAAAAACTTAGTTTAATTTAAATATGTAAGCCACAATCATAGATATCATTGTTTGTTTACTGTTTTGCATTCAAATATCGGCGCGGGTTCGAATCCTGGCAAGTACCAATGTGATTTTTCCGAGTCATATGTACATACTTATTAAGAGTATTTAGACATCACTGACAGACGGTGAAGGAAAACATCGTGAGGAAACCTGGACTTATAATCAAATTATAAGTTTGAAATCACTAACCCGTCTTGAGCAAGCGTGATGATTAATGGTCTAACCTTCTCCATGTGAGAAGAGGCCTTTGCTCAGCAGTGGGCTCTGATAGGATGATGATGATATAGATGTATATTTTCTTCTGATAGTTTTATGTTCTCCTGTTTCTTTCACTAATAACAATATAAGCATTTATCAGAAGTATGTAACACTATAATAACTAAAACTCAATACTCTAACTACCTAATATAATATACTCAAATTAAGTATCTCTACTAATATTATAAATGCGAAAGTAACTCTGTCTGTCTGTCTGTTACGCTTTCACGTAGGTATAAACCAATGAACTGATTTAAATGAAATTTGGTACAGAGATAGAGTTGTCCTTGAAAAAGTACGTAGGATAGTTTTTATCCTAGACTTTTGAAAGGTTCTCTTGGAAACGCGATATAACTCCACGCGGGCGAAGCTGTTGCTGAAAGCTAGTAATTTATATATTTTCATGTAACAAACAAACAGATATTCATCTCATATATATATGCTTATAAAAGGCCCACTTTGTGTGACCGATTCCTTTGTAACTCAAACCTCCAACAATTACAATATGTTTTGACATTTCCATTTGTCCGTTAAGTTTAAATTTATGGTTGTCGGTGTGATTGTGGCTTTTTTTAACCATCGGTGTATCGGTGTATGGGTGGTCCGTGGAAAAAAGAACTCAATAGATTGTGTATTTATATATCAATTATTTAATATACATATAAAAAAAAGTATTAATTTTGTTTAAGAATCCACAAATACATATGCACACACACGCACGTACACGCATGCACACATATTTTCATTTACCTATAATAATTATAGTATCAAGAATCGTATCCGCGACTTTAAATTTCATTACAGACATCGTAATATTTGAGCTACAACGTCCTTAAGATAAGTATCAATACATCCAAAATAACTTCATTATTATGGATAATTAATTTCAGCATATATATTTTTAATAATCTTGATACATTTAAAAATCTAATTATTGAACACAAAGCTTTACTTTGTGTTAAATATTTTTAGACCATCTTAATCATTTATCTCATTAATGTATAATAATTAATATTATACGTGTGAAAGAAAAAAATGATTTATCCCCATACCACTCTATGACCATAAATAAGGCGGTACAATAAATAAGCATAGATAATATAGAGTCATCGTGGCCATAGATTATATAGAGTCATCCTGAGATTAGTTGTTATTAAAAAACGATTCAAGATGGCCGCTAGATGAGAGGTGAACACAATATGGATACTGTTAGAATGAGACTAGAATATATATATGTATATATATTTAATAAATATTATATGAATTTGTGTTTAATTTTGAAAAAAGGTCCGATATAAGTTCAAACTTTTTTTTGATTTAAATTTATATTTTAATAATGAAACATATATATTTTTTTAGTTTTTAAAACTAAACAAATTAATATATTCTGATACTAACTTTAAATGAGATAATTAATTTTAAATAAATTCATTATATTATATTTAATTTTATATATCAAGAATTATCAAAATTCCCGTACTACGTAAAACGCCATCCTCATTCCCAAATTATGGACACACTACCAAAAAATAGAAATATAAAAAAAACCTAAAGATAATTATTATTTTCCGCGCCAACTAAATTACATGTTCTATTTAAGACCAGAATATATTGATCTTAAGCCACATATATGTTAAGTTAATCTTGAGGTCAAGTTAATGTGGTTATATTATTAATAATCGAGTCTGTGTGCGAAAGAGACAGATATAGCTATCCATTATATGTGTGAGAGAGATGGATGTGTTGTTCTATGATTGCTTATATTTGGTAGCCATTTTGATGAGTACCGAAATTTTTTTAATTTAATACGATTTAATATATGTAGCTGTGTTTATTTAAATTGTTATTTATTTTTTTTTTTTTTTTTTTTTTTTTTTTTTTTTTTTTGATGACGTAGTGGAAACTCTTTTTACGAGCCGTCCAACCGGCCTTGGTGGGGCCGGAAGGGATGTGTGAGGCTCGGCCTGGGCAGGCCCCTACTCACTAAAACCACTGCGAAAGCCATCGGCCGCTATGTCGGTGTACCCCGGATCTGTCAGCGACAGGGCACACCAGCGACTGGCCGGTCCTGGCAAAGACCGGACTTACTCCCTCGGAGAATGGGGGCGATCCCGGCAATTAGGACCACCCCGACGACGCCGGGCTTTCAAAAGGGCCGGGTTACCACGCCGACCCCAGCCCGGAACACAGGGGTGCTATTGGAGGCGTAGGAATTGCCTCCGACGCACCCCCGTACGTCGCCTGCGGGGGGAGGGAGCATCAGCCGCCCTCTCCCTTTCCCGCTGAGATGCCTCCTTCGTGGACATGACCGTCTCACAGAAGGAGGACACCGCCAACCAGGACCCATCACTCTCGAGCATCTTCTCCACGACACTCGAAAGCGACAGGTCCACTCCGCCGAGAGCCGCCACAAGGTCTTGGCGCTGCGCAGCCCATCTCGGGCACACCTCGAGGGTGTGCTGGGCCGAGTCCACCGCAGCGCCGCACTCATGGCAGCCTTCTCCCGGCTCTCTCCTGGCCGTCCGACACAGGTAGTAACCAAAGCACCCGTGCCCGGTTAAGACCTGCGTCAGACGGAAAGTGAGGGGTTTGCGTTTCCGCCTCATCCAACGCTCTAGGACCGGGCGAAGCGCTGCCGTTGTACGTCTACCGTACGGCTGCTCCGCCAAGTCCTCCCCCCACTCCCGCATAAGGCGCTCCTCCCCCTGCCGACGAACCGCTCGGATCTCCTCCGACGAAGGGTTCTCGCCGAGTGTCCTCCTACCCGAGACATAGGAGAACAACTCGGCTCGAACCGACGCCACGAGATCCCAAGGCGGATCGCCGGCAAGGGCAGTCGCTGCGGCCCAGGAGACCGTACGGTACCCCCTAATCACCCTCACCGCAGGAGCCCTTTGCGCAGAGCGCAGCAGGGCTTTGGTCCTGCGGCTCATTGGGCGATCAGCCCAAACGGGAGCACCGTACAGGGCTATACTCCGACAGACCCCAGAGTATAGCCGCCTGCAAGCTGCGCTGGGTCCTCCGAGGTTCGGGAGGAATTTTCCCAGCGCACCTGCCGTCCTCACGACCTTCGGCCCCAGTTCCTTGAAATGAGGCACGAAGGTCCACCCTCCGTCAAGAGTGAGCCCCAGATATTTCATGGTGGGACTCACCCTGACCCTCCCTCCTCCAATGAGGAGGGTGGCACCCGGCGGGGGTCCTTTCCGCCCAGTCCCGCGGAAGAGGAGGGCTTCGGTCTTGTCTATTCTCACCCGAAGCCCCAACCTCTCTATGCGGCTGATCACGAGGTCAGTTCCGACCTCGGCCAGCCGCGCCGCCTCCCTGTAGTTTCGTCCCCGGGATAAGACGAGGGTGTCATCGGCGTAGCAGATGACACCCATCCCGGGGAGGAGACGACTCCGCAGGACCCAGTCGTATCCGACGTTCCACAGGACCGGTCCCAGGACCGACCCCTGTGGCACGCCGTTTTCGACTGTCCACCACTCTATGGACCCCCTCCGGCTCTCGACTGCCACCCTCCTCTGGGAGAGGTAGCTGTTTATCAGCCTCCTCAGATACAGGGGCACTCCGAAATACTCGAGTGCCACCTGTATCGCGCTGTGTGGGAGGCTGTTAAACGCGTTTGCGATGTCCAACGACACCGCAACCACTACCTCTCCTCTGCGTTCCGCCTCTTCCGTCACCGCCCTCAGGCGTTTGAGAGCATCGACGGTCGACCGATGGGCTCGGAACCCGAACTGGAACTCTGACAGTCCCGGGCCCGAGCCTTCCTCCAGATGCCGAACGAGACGGGTGGCCATTATTTTCTCCAGGGCCTTCCCCGCCTCGTTCAGCACAACCACCGGTCGCCACGCCGAAGCCGAGTCCGGAGGCCGGTTGCCTTTTGGAAGAAGGCAAAGCCGGCCTTCCTTCCAGGCCCTCGGGAACTGCCCGGACCTCAGACAGAGGTCGAACAGCTCCTTGAGGGCTCCACCGAGGTGCACCAGGGAGAGAGCGAGAACTCTCCCGTGCACCCCATCCGGACCCGGTGCGCTCTTCTTACTTTGGAGGCGAGCCAGAATCGCCTCCATTTCAGACTCCGTGACGGTGGGCGGAACGCGGTCGCCCTCTTCCAGCGTCAGCCGGGCCATTCTGGGGGGAGTAAATTCCGCTGGAGCGTCGGGGAAGAGTTCCCCGACGATCCCCCTCAGAGCAGCCGGCTGGAGCACCTCCGTGATGGGGGCCGACTGGGCGCAGAGTTTGTTCCGCGCCCGCTTGTACGGTCGGCCCCAAGGGTCTCGATCGAGACCCTCCACCAGCTCCAGCCAGGCTGCCTCCTTGGCCCGGCGGATGGCCTGCTGCAGGATCAACTTCTTCTCCACATAGACCCTGTACAGCCGACCATCTCGCTCCTCGTCCTGGGGGCGGCGTCGCCTACTCCGGGTGTATGCCCTCCTGGCCCCGTTGCAGGCGACCCGGAGGTCTGAGATATTCTCAGACCACCAGTATACCGCTCCCCGCGGAGGGGGACGTCCTACGGGGGGCATCGCCGCTCGGCAGACGTTTTGAAGAACGTCCCCAAAGCGGCTAGCCCCTTCATCCACCCCTAACTCCGCACCCTCCGGGAGACTCCAGCGACCGACGACGGCCGCTTCTTTAGCCAGTTCCCGGTTGAGCTTTGACAGCGCCCAACGCGGGAACCGACTTCTCTCCCGAGGCGACGAGGAATTCGACACTGGACTCCGGCGACCGGCAGGAGTAGGAGACACTTCGAACCGTATGTAGCGGTGGTCCGAAAGCGTCTCCACTCCTGCCTCAACCCTCCATCCCTCCACTCTGCGTGCGATGGTCGGAGTGGCGAACGAGACGTCCACCACTGAACCTCCCAACCGTCGCACGCACGTCTGGACCGTCCCCGAGTTGAGAAGGGACAGTCCGGCAGTCAGCGCCCATGCCTCCAGCTCCCTCCCTTTCGGTGTTGTGCGGGGGTTTCCCCACGCCGTGGACTTGGCGTTGAGGTCCCCCAGCACAAACACCTGAAGAGGCGCTAACTGCCCTACCACCGGCCCGAGAGAGTCGAGAAATCTCTCGAAGGCCGGCAGGTCGCGGTTCGGGGAGAAATATACCCCGACGATGGCAACCTCCCCCCGAACCGCCGCCACATACCCGTGGCCCCTCGCTTTGACGGCGAGGGGGGGCCCGGCTCCCGGCCGCGTGACGATCGCAACTAAGCCGTCCACGTCTCCCGCCCAATGAGGTTGGGCAGGGACACAGTACGGCTCCGCTATGACCGCCACGTCTACGGCCCACTCCGCCATGGACTGCAGGAAAAGATCCTGAGCCCCGGCGCAGTGGTTTCCGTTGGCCTGCAGGAACCTGAGATGTCCGGCCATTATTCGGACATCTCAGCTCCTGACGCCTGCCTCGAAACCCCCGGCCTTTTAGGCTGGTCGGGGAGTTTCCCACGGGTGGATGGAGGACGGCACGAATGGCCCCCCATCACATTAAATTGTTATTTATTACTTTATTAGTATATAACTTTGATATTTCTTTAATAACTTCATATATGATGTAAATATTAAAATAAGTATATAGTTATGTTCACGTTAATTATATAACTATATATACAGTAGTATATGTTCCTAACACGAAAAAAACTTTATGAAAACACAGACGAAGTCGCGAGTAGTTCTTAGTATGTATAATATACCATTATAAATATAATTTGAACATTTTCGTATACATTCGGTAAACACTTTATCTGTATCGCCACCTTAAATTATACAACATACATTATGTCTTTGTTTTTATTTGGACAGCGAATGTATGGAGTCGAATTAATCAATATTTGTATTAATATTTAAATTACTTCAGAATATAAATAAATATTATTGAAACAAACATTAATTAGGTTTTTTATATTCAATGCAGGCATAGTTTTTTTATTATCTTTTATAACACGATTTTGTTTCATCACAGCAATTGTTCTTATAATGATAATTGAATGTATCGTAATATATAATAATCATATTATTATATATCTATTGTTTTATTCATATTTTTAATATGGTTGTGAAGGCCGATGTTATTTAATTATACATATTTAATACGTAAAGTTACTTGGTACTGATTATTTTTTCAGTGTTTTTTGATGTATTCAATAAGTTTGATATCCGATACTTATTATTTAGGAAATAAGTCTTATATATATTTTTTTCAATAAATGTGAATAAAACTGATATTCACATTATATTTATTATGTTAGTTATAAATAATACTCTATAATTGAGTGTTTATTGCAATTTTATTTTTATTTGAGTTATTTAAGGTTGAAGCAGAATGAAAAATCCCGGAAATCTTTGAAATTACAGTTCAAGTGAAAAATTCATCTAAAACATTTAAGTATATTGTAAAAAAGTTTTTAATATTAAAATTGAGAGTTTTACTTTTCACATAGTAAAATAGTGAAACAAATTAAAAATCTAATAACACATTATACCTACCTAGTAGATGAGAATAAAATGCTAAACGGTTAACTAATACTTCCACTTTACCTCACCTGTCATCTAACCGTAACATGCGATAGTGGGGACAGATATTATTATTTAGTGTTTAATTTATTACTAATTGTGAAAAAAATTACCTTAAAAGTCGTTTATTTAGAAAATATTTCAGCTTAAACTTTCTTCTGATAATCTGCTTCCACTGGTAGCTACGCGGATTTGCACTATCCCCGACGATATACTGAAAATATAGAGAAAAAAAATTATTATTAACAACAACATCTCCACGACGTCTCTGTCCAAACACAGTTCGAATTTCAAAATCCGGTAGATCATGCACGTATCGATTTTTCATTGGACATTTTTGAAAAAGGAACACATTATTATGTTTTTTTTTGGGAGCATTAATGCAACGATTGTCAGTCGCCGGCTTATTTAGATACGGGACAAATAAATTGTTTGCTTTAATCATATTATGATATATATGAAGTTGTTTGTCTGTCCCTCTGTCTGAATAATTTAGGCGAGTATGAATAAAATAATATATTTTTTATATTTAAACATTATTTGTGTATGACCTTTATAGTAAAAATTATTTTGCTTATATGAAAAACACAATAATTTGAAGTAAATACATACAAATAGATATCTCTATAGCCTATATAATATAGTTATTAGATGAATTGATAGTATATAACAGAACAATTTCATCAAGAAAATCTCAATACGATCAAAGAACATAGACGTTAGAAGGCAACGGTTCAAAACATACAGCCAAAATGCAATTAAAATAAAACATTTCCGGATATTAGAGCCGGTTATAAAAACGCATTAGACCGGCTGAACCCGGAGCCGGTTGGCGTCAAGTGACATCCGTAAAAATTGCCGTAATTAAACATGAAGACTTAAATGTTAAAAAAATTCCTCACGAAGACAATGGCCCATTAGGAGACGGGAGATAACTATCAGATACAATTGTACCTCCTTTTATGAATTTTGGAACGAGTCCACGCGTTAGGGCGGTTATACACTGGGCGATTAATAAACTATACATATTATAAGTCTTAGTTAGTCTAACTCGTTATAATAAAAGAAATATATCATTAAAATTATATTTGAAGAATATTATAGTAAGTAAATGAAAGGATAATAAAATTATTATTTATATTTATTTAACAAACGGGTAGTAATTAATTATGAATATATATATATATATATAAAATAGGTATGTAATAGGTATATAGAAAAAGATTTATATGTTTTTATCATTATAGCCGAAAACATCATATAGGGGAGAGTCGGATATATCGTACCACTTTTCACTTTAACTCAAATATTTCGACTATAAAGACGTGTTATACAAGTTTTTCTCAATATTGGAATTATTTTGATCTCAATAAAATTTCTTCTTTTGTTCGAATAAAATAAAGTTTGCAACATTACTGATACCGAAAACTTATTTATAATTATTTCTGTATACTAATATTATATTTGAGTATATTTTTTATGAAGAAAATATTTATTTTAAATATCAATATAAAATAATCAATTATAATATTTAAATGAAACCAATATTATTCGGATTACAGTAAAGTAACTGAAACTATAGGAGTATATAGTTAAAATAAAAAAAATCGTAGTAATACAAATACTATATAAAAAAATAAAGTTTAAAAATCCGTCCAGTGTGTAGTTCGCCTGTCACGCTCGGGTCGTGGTGTCGATTTTTGCGGCTAACGATTTGGAAATGTTACCGACATACCAATTACAGATTGAATTCCGTATAATACATTCAAATCGAGTGATCTTATGAAATTTAATTATTATTATAATACGTTTGAAACATTTAATATGCAAACATATATAAGAACATCGCAAAAACTTACAAAAATCATTTA